AAATTATATTTTAAAATATTATATTTATAAATATAAATAATTATTAAATTATTATAATATTTATTAAAAATAAATTATTACTCTTTTCTTATACTTACAACTTTGAAGTTGAAAATTGATTAAAAATATGTGGTAACGATGAATTTCGTTTAACTGGAAACTGAAAATTATATTCATTTTGCATTGGTATACTATTTGAACTTGTTTTTTCTTCGGACACATTTATTTGATGTTTTTTCGAATTAGAAATTGAATATTCATTATTATAAGTATTAACAACACAATTTATTTTTGTCATTAAATTATATGCCTTCTGTTCAAGTTCTTTATTTAACTGATGAAATCCTTTTTCTTTAGATAATAAATCTTCAGTCATTTTTTAATAATAATAACTATTATGCAAAAAAAATTATTTTACTATTATCGTTATATTTTTTTATTACTAAATTCTGTTTAACAATTATAAGTCTTGACAATTAACGAACATATATTCTATTCGATCAAATATTTGTTTATGTTATTATACCAAATCACTATAATGCATAGTATGCAAGGAGCGGTAGTTTTTCGTTTTTAAACATATGATAGTTAAATGAAATAAAAACATATTACATTGCATATGTATATTTACAAATTTATTATAAACGAAAATGACGGCACGTTCAATTTTACAAGGTATAATTTTTAAATTAGTTTAATTTGACGGTTTTTTAATATAGATGACAATAATATAAATAATATATAAATAAAATAGAATAAAACTTTTTTGTATTTGTATTAGTAATTTATTATAATAATTCTTATGCTTGTGTAAAATATTAATATTGATAATTCTTTTATATTTATAGTTTTTGATCAATATCAAAAGGCTCGTCTATTGTTTGTTCAATCTATTGCTGATTTTGCTTCAAAACCAAATACTATAGAATGTTTAGAAGCTGCTGGTGTTTTGGATCTTTTATGCCCTTTGCTAACAGATCTTGTACCATCTATTCAACATATGGCTGCTGTTGCATTAGGAAAAATTGCAAATAACAATCAAAAATTGGCACAGACTATTGTAAGAATGGATATTTTACCTCAATTATTGAAGAATATTGCTAAACAAAATGTATGAATGTAAGCATTTTAGTTGTAGAAAACTATATTTCTTTTTTTTAGTAGATTTTACTATATTTTAAAATATAATAAATAAATTATGAAACCATTGAAGCATATTTGTTATAGAAATTTTATAAAAAAGCAGCCCTATTTGTTTTACGTGCAATTGCTAGACATTCCCCTGAATTTGCATCTATGGTAATTCAAAGTAATGGATTGGACACTATAATAATTTGTTTGGAAGATTTTGATTCTGGTGTTAAGGAAGCTGCTGCTTGGGCATTGGGATATATTGCTAGACATAATAAGAGCTTAGCTCAAACTACAGTAGATGCAGGTATTTATGTAGCATTACATAAATTAATTATATTCTTCTATATAAATTATTTAATTCATAGGAGCTGTGCCACTTTTGGTGTTGTCCTTGCAAGAACCTGAATTATGTATAAAACAAATTACTGCATCTGCTTTATTTGATATAAGCAAACATTCTACTGAACTTGCAGAAAA